GCAATTCTCCTGCCTCAGCCTCCTGAGTAGCTGGGATTACAGGCATGCGCCACCATGCCCAGCTAATTTTTTGTATTTTTAGTAGAGACGGGGTTTCACCATGTTGACCAGGATGGTCTCAATCTCTTGACCTCGTGATCCACCCGCCTCGGCCTCCCAAAGTGCTGGGATTACAGGCTTGAGCCACCGCGTCCGGCCGGTCTCCATCTCTTGACCTTGAGATCTACCCGCCTGAGCCTCCAAAGTGCCTGAATTATAGGCATGAGGCACCGTGCCCAGCCCCTCAATATTTATTGTATTTGCATTTCTTATTGCAGTCACTGGAATCTTCAAAATAAAGTTGAGTATTAGGGTGGACAGTGGACATTTTCCTTATTTTCCCAATTGAATGGAAATTGCATATTATTTAAACATTTAGTGTAATGCTTCATCTTGATTTAGGGTATATAGACCTTGCTATATACCCTAATATACCTTATATATACCCTATATAAGTAGTTTTGTTCAGTCGCCATTTTACTTGATGCCCAATGACTTAGGAGGCTGAGGTGGGTGGATTACTTGAGCCCAGAAGGTAGAGACTGCAGTGAGTTGTGATTCTGCCACTGTACTCCAGCCTGGGCCACAGAGCAAGACTCTGTCTTAAAAAAAAGAAATTAACTAGAACCACAGAACTTTCAGGAAAGTGATATATTTATGGCTAGTTTTTGTGTTTTTTTTTTGAGACGAGGTCTTGCTTTGTCACCCAGGCTGGAGTGCAGTGGTGTGATCTTAGCTCACTGTAATCTCTGCTTCCTGGGTCCAAGCAATTTTCCTGCCTCAGCCTCCTGAGTAGCTGGGATTATAGGGGCCACCACCATGCCGGCTAATTTTTGTGTTTTTAGTAGAGACAGGGTTTCACCATCTTGGCCAGGCCAGTCTCGAACTCCTGATCTCAAGTGATCCACCCGCCATGGCCTCCCTAAGTGCTGGGATTACAGGCGTGAGCCACCGCACCTGGCCTTATGGTTAGTTTTATTAGAGAAGGGATACAGGTTAGAATCAGCTAAAGAGACTCGCCAGGCAGAAAGTACAGGAGGGCTCCAAACGTGGAGGAGCTTCAAGCCCTCCCCTCCCTGCGGAGTCATGGATGGCATTACCTCTTTCTGACTGCAATGTGTGACAATATGCAGTGTTGCCAACCAGGAAAGCTTCCCTGAGCTTTTAGTCCCCAGTTGTTATTGGGTCTTGATCACATCCCACCTAGGTGGCTGGTCATTAATCTTCAACTCCGCCAGGAGGTTCAGGCGTATAGCTTGAGTCTTCAATTCCTCCAGGGGTAGAAACTGACATGGCCCACACCAAAGCCCTCATTAATCACATTGTTAGATTGTCTGGTGGTCAAAGTCCCCAAGGAAACAAAGACATATCTACATTCCAGGGCCCTAGAGATCACCTACAAATCTGAAAACATAAAACATGCTCTTGCTTGTAAATAAAACTGTATATAGTCCACTCTCAAGACTTCTGTTAGGGGAAACAACTCCATGGCATCACATTGGGCTGCCACCAAGAATCAGTATCATGTAGGATTGATGAGAGCAGAGGTGTAAGCCAAAGTGAATTTTTTTTTTTTTTTTTTTGAAACAGGATCTCACTCTGTCACCCAAGCTGGAGTGCAGTCGTGCAATATCAGCTCACTGCAACCTCTGCCTTCCGGGTTCAAGCAATTCTACTGCCTCAGCCTCCCGAGTAGCTGGGACTATAGATACCTGCCACTGTATTTTGTAAAAACACAAAATTTTTGTATTTTTAGTAGAGATGGGGTTTCACAATGTTGGCCAAGCTGGTCTTGAACTCCTCACCACAGGTGATCTGCCTGCCTTAGCCTCCCAGAGTTCAGGGATTACAGGTGTGAGCCACCACACCCGACATGTGTGACTGTATTCTCTTTTACCAACACACAAGAAAATAATGATGTCTTAAAGACTGCAGGTAGCTGAAAAAAGTATTACTGGAAAAAGACACAGAGTAAAAATATCCTACTATACCATGGAATAGAAACAGGTCATTATTGTTATTAAATAGAGACAATATCTGTTTATTTTATTCTATTGTATTTTCATTCTCCTTTCAGTCTTTCATGTATCTTTTTTTTTCTTTTTCTTTTTTTTTTTTTTTTTTTTTTTTTTTTTTTGAGACAGTCTTGCTGTGTCGCCCAGGCTGGAGTACAGTGGCATGATCTCAGCTCACTGCAACTTCCGCCTCCTGGGGTTCAAGCGATTTGCTTGACTCAGCTTCCCCAGTAGCTGGGATTACAGGTGTGTGCCACCACGCTCAGCTAATTTTTCTATTTTTATTAGAGACGAGGTTTCACCATGTTGGCCCGGCTGGCCTTGAACTCTTGGTTTCAAGTGATCTGCCTGCCTCAGCCTTCCAAAGTGCTGGGATAACCAGTGTGAGCCACTGTGCCTGGCCATGTATCTTTTTTTTTTTTTTTTTTTTTTCTGAGACACAGTCTCACTGTTTCCCAGGCTTAGTGCAGTGGTGCAATCACAGCTTACTGCAGCCTTGACCTCCCCGAGTATAGGTGATCCTCCCACCTCAGCCTCCTGAGTAGCTAGGACCATAGGCGTGTGCCACCAGGGCTAATTTTTTTTTTTTTTTTTTGTAGAGACAGGGTCTTCCTCTGTTGCCCACGCTGGTCTTGAGCTCCTAGACTCAAGGGATCCTCCCACCTCAGCCTCCCAAAATGCTGGGATTACAGGTATGGGCTACCATGCCCAGCTCATGTATCATTCTTTTCTTTGCTTTTTTTTTTTGAGACAGAGTCTTGCTCTGTTGCCTGGCTGGAGTATACTCACTTGAACCAGGGAGTTGGAGGTTGCAGAGGCACAATCTTAGTCCACTGCAACCTCCAACTCCCTGGTTCAAGGGATTCTCCTGCCTCAGCTTCCGGAGTAGCTGGGGTTACAGGCACATGCCACCACACCCAGCTAATTTTTTTTTTTTTTTTTTAGTAGAGACAGGAATTTAGCATGTTGGCCAGGATGGTCTCGAGCTCCTGACCTCGTGACCCACCCCCATTGGCCTCCAAAAGTGGTGGGATTACAGGCGTAAGCCACTGCACCCAGCCTGAGTGTTTACTCTTATATGGATTCTTCCACCTCCACCATAAGTAAGACAGGCTCGAGGGAGGTAGAAGGAGAGAAATGCCCTTCCTCCAGGAACAAGGTCTGCGACAAGGTCCTGGTAAGGTCTTTCCCATGACACAGACTCCACCAATTTACCAAAATTACTATTTAACTGTTCCTACACATTTAGGGCTCCCATAGCATTTAATCTAGGCAAACTGATCTTGACTGTCTTGCTCTGAATTTGCCTGTCTCTTCACATTTCAGGGTGCTCGTTTGCTCTGCAACCTCAGTTTTCTAATGAATCCAAGGAAAGTTGATTTTCAGTTTGTCCAGCCTTTTTGTTTGGAAGGGTAACTTCCAAGCTCTACATGTCAGTGTTGAAACCTGAAGTTCTTGTTTTCAATCCTTTTTCTTTCTATTTTACAGATATTTCCATTAATCAACCTTCAAGTTCATCTGTCTTTCTTCCATCACATCCATTCTGCTATTGAGCATGTCTGGTGCATTTTTTTCAGTTACTGTTTTTCAGTTCTAAAAAAAATTTGGATACAGTCTTGTTCTGTCACCCAGGCTGGAGTGCAGTGGCATGATTTGGGCTCACTGCAACCTCCACCTTCTGGGTTCAAGCAATTCTCCTGCCTCAGCCTCCTGAG